AAAAAATATACACAGATATAGATTAAATTAATGATTGATACAATAGAAAAAGCATTTTCGGGGAGTGTGATATTCTATAGTAGGTCAATTTCATAGGCTAATAGAAAACAGAACTTAATATTTATATCAAATACAGAATCGGAATACATCGTTATAACTATGTTTACTAAGTAAGGAAAATGGTTAGTCCAAATATTGAAAGATTTATTGAGGATTTAGTATATTGAAATAAACAACAAAACTATTCAAATGCTAGGAGATAACCAAGGAGCTATAATATTGATCAATAATCCATATTTATATAAAAGATCCAAATATATTGATATATATTATTATTTCATTAGAGCTTTAATAGAAAAAGGAAAAGTTTTTACTAGTTATATCAAGACTATTGATATGGTAGCTGATGGGATAACAAAGCTATATGGGAGGATTGTATTCGAAAGGTTCTACAGAATGCTGGAGCTAGTAGTATAACTGAAGGAAATATGAATAATATTCACAAAGATATAATTTCAATAGGGGAGTATTAGAAGTTGAGATTAAAAGGAATTACATATATATGAGTATATGATTAATAAAGGTATTAAATGGTTTTCTTACCAAGATAATAACCTTGGTGAAAAAAGAGCTTAACTCTACTAGTTCAACCTTTCTTGTAATAGTCAATAATACTGCTATTTCCACTATGTTATAGGGCATCACTTTCTAACATTTTGTATATTAACACTGGCATCCCAAGAAATACAACCCATTATTCTTCTATCCTATATTCCCAGAAGTATGTCCGATACCCCCAAACGCCCATTGTATACTCGGGTATCATAATGCATCTCCTTCCTTTCCTTTCTATCTACCGCTCTACTTTCTCTTGGGCGACGAAGCGCCATTCTTTGCACTATTCTTTGCACTATTCTTAGCACCCAACATCACCAATCCCTCACTCACACCTTCATGTAAACCCCCCGTAACACCCTCTATAACCCACGCCGCAGCTTTCGTAAGGGCTTCCCCAACTTTCCCATCACCGATTCCGTATATGGCTCCAGTAACTGCCAAACTCGATTTGCCAATCGTGTCTACCGTTACAAAGCCCCGCGACAGAACCTTTTCCGATATTCTATGGCTTCGATCGTATTGATATGCGGACGTAAGTACATATTTCAAGTAAGGAAGGATGAATTGGAAGAGGAGGAAAAGTTGAATGATGGTAGCGGCGACACTTCTTTGGAGTAATGAAGGGGGTCTGTTACCAAGAGCGGAATTTGGAAAAGTTTCGCTGGTGTTGGATTCCTCTTGTAATAATTCTACCACTTCTTTGGGTATAGCGGTTTTCAGACCCATGGTTTCCTCGGTTGTGAGATCGGAAGGAAGAGCCCGGAGTAGGTATGTCAAGGCGTGGATGAAGAGCTGTCTCGCCAAGGAAATATTGCTAAATCGAGTATTTTGGGAAACTGCGGATGATTCTTCAAAGGCGAGAGCAAGAAGATTGTACCCTGTTTTAACGACGATTAGTATGCGTACATAATTTAGGTAGGGTAGTTATCAAACCTTGATTCGCAAACTTCCATCCAATGCCCGACTTTGTTGTTTCAGACGATCCCATTATTTGAAGCTGTCTATTCCTTGGCGCTTGAGGAATCTCTTCGTCCGAGAACAGCGACTCTTCTGGGAAATAGCTATCCATTGATTCCCCCTCACTCGATACCGAAGTTCGTGCACCGACAAGTGTCATGGACGAGGAGGAGCATATTGACCCTGGTGTAGTTGCTCCAGATACCGTGCTCCCGGATTTCCGTCCACTCACAAGTCCGTAGATATTAACGGAACTTCGAATCGAAGGTATACGAGGCAAATGTGATTGCACAATCGTTGGAAGCATGGAGTAAAGCATCGAAGCTTCTTTTGGGTTTTGAGTAAAGTTGGGAGAATAATGTTGGTGTTGGTTCTCGATCATCAATTCTGGATCTTGAAGTGGTGTCATTTCGTCTTGATGTAGATATGCCTCTATGGAAAGGTTTCGTTTGGAACGACGGGTCAGTCGTGAGTACATTATATACATCGAAGGTGTTTTCAAGATATAATAGATGTATGGAAATAGATAACTTTGCAAACAGACGTGAATGCGGACAAGAGAAGGATAACCAGTTGAATACGGCTCAGAACAAACGTTTCCGGAGTAAACCAATCAAATTAACTTCATAATCCAATGTAAGCCGTAATCGTATTCATTGAAATCATATGTATATTCAATCCATAAATTGAATATGTATTTGAGACGAAAGGCGAAGATGGGGGGGTAATAAATTTCATAATGAAGATGGGAGAAACCTCTGTGAGATGAGATGAGATGAGATGAATATATTTCTAGGAGACCGATAAGAATGTTGGTTGCTATCCATATCATCCAAAAATGTTAATTGCATGTGAAAGAGGTCTATTCGAGTAAAAATGGGTTAATTATCACGTGGATGAAACATGACCAATCATAGACCAATGTGCGTAGATGCAATTCTTTGGTGGGACAACGGTGAGAATTTGATATTTGATATTTATGGCAATGTCAAGAAGCCAATATAATTAAAAAAAAAAATACGATGTCGATAACATAATTGGGGATCACGGTATTATCTGATAATCCTAAAGTATTGAATTAGAATTCTTTTCCACTCTGTTACCATCCATCCGTCCATTAATCCAGCCGGATCCGTTAACGTTTCCCCGCCTCTCCAATCTTAACGAAAAAAGACAAAATTATTCCGGAACCACGTATTGCGGATCAGTAGCTCTCGAATTGGCCTTGTATATATTGATAGTATCCCACTCCACCCCCTCAAAACATCTCAAGTTGACCGGTAGGATATTTAACCATCGTTCCTGCTGTGCCGGCGTCCAGGCATCCCAAGTTTTTGGAGATTTAGATACTGCTGACACGTTCTTGTCAACAATTACAGTAATGCCGCAGGTTGAGCAGAATTGGAATTTGTTGTAGCTTTGGCCGAATGAATAGCTTGTCAAATGCGATGTGCCGGAAATGGCTACTTGATCTTTCTTGGTATAACAGATTGTGGTACCAAGCTATATGTTGATTAGTAGTACTCGAGTATATCAAAGTGAACTGCTGAGAGAATACTCACTCGACAACAGATACTACAGTTGCACTCCTGGATAAATTCACATCCCTCGGAGAGAGGAGCGCGAGTCTTCAATGCAATGCCCACTGCACCACAGTGACAACCTCCAGTATAGATCTTCTCGTTTTCAAACTCAGCTGTTGGTAATTCACCAGTGTATTTAGGTGCAACATATTGCGGTTCATGAGCAAGTCCATTATACCTAAAGACTCGGTGTCAACAATCGCTATGGGCTAATTTGTATAAGTTGGACGTTACTTACTTTTTAACTGTCAAGGACCATTGATCAATATCTTGGAGGGAATTGACCTGGACGTGATAATCAGTCAACAACCTTGATGAAATGTGTGGCATGATCCTAACTTACATTGATACCAATATCCATTCCCGCTGGAGTATTGTAGCGGAAACCTTGCACACCCGTCCCACATGTTCCGCAAAACTAAATCGATGAGCATCTTTTGGTGAGTGTAGAGATGGTGATATTACCCTATGAACCATCGTACGTTTTCCAAAATGATACTCTTTCAAAGTACCCTCCCCCTTGATAATCTCGAAACAATCCTTAGCAGGAAATACCCATCGATATCCTTTCTTGAAGCAGATACTGCAGTCGCATTGAGTAACGGTAGTTATCTCAGGCATTTTTATGGTGAACTTGAAGGCACCGCAATGGCAATTACCATGGTAGGTTTTGAGTTCCAGTGTAGACTCAGACATATTGAAATGATTGCTGATAAATTTGGTGAGGAGTGAAGATGGTCAAGAGTTTGAAGATGCGGTTTCCCAAGATGGTGTAAAGGAAGGCTTTATATCATCTCTATCTTCTCAAAAGAAACTTGTTGGGGAACCCGTCAAGCCCCGCATGTGCCGTATTTGTGGCTTCCCAAACTCAAAGCTACCAGGAAGCAGACGTCAAATATTGTCTCTTTTCAAGATGGCCAGGATATTTTTTATCATTTGGTTGTCATCAAAATGAAGGAGTCTCCGCAGAAAGGACGGCGAAGTCAATTTGTTTGAGTGACTCATGAGCTAAGATTCTGTTGAGATGCTATCCCATGATTTGAAGCCTTGCTTGTCATGTAATGGGGCTGAATACTGAAGCTCAACAGAAACAAAATGGCAATATAACAAAAGCTAATCATGATCACTAATCATGTCGGTCAGCTTAAAAAGGGAAGATGGATATAAGCCGTATCGGCCAGGTGAAAAGGGAAGTTGCATTTGTCCAATAAGTGTATCATTACCTTGAATGTGGAGTTGAAATCTTGTCGTGTCTGTTGTGTAAGAATAGATTGATGTATCTATCGGATGAGACGGCTCGGACGGGTAAATCTACTTACTACTTTAAATCTCCGAATCCGGGGTAAGGTCAACTTCAACAATCATCCTTCATCCGCACCACATCGCACCGCAATAATATGTCTTATGTAGAAATCATTAACAACAATATGTATCCGTCTGCATTTGCCAAAGTACAATACTCTAGTCCATTGACGAATTGTTGCCCGATGTCTTTTTAGGAGTCGGTGAACTAAAAGATGTAGAAAACAATACTCGTATTACTGTTATCCATTATGCCAATTGGTTCCTGCACATACCAACTAGCAGCAGGGTCATCAACATGGCGCATATTGTACTGTAGTACAATACATACAGTATGCATAGGTCTCAATCTCAATTAGTTTTCAGTCGAGATGGAGTGGGAATAGCTTCATCAATTTCTCAATTAGTTCTTTAAGCGAATGATGGTATGGGATCCGTGAAACTTGACTACCGGTACTCAAATATTATTACTCGAATATGAGGTTTTCATAAGACTTTTATTTATATTTATAAAATTCAAAGTCTTTTCTTACAAGTGTTACATAGCCCCACCCAAATTCTGCATTTGATCGCGGTTAGATATAATAGTTCATTAGCTTCGGCATTTACTCTTATTCCGTTATCCGAGCTCCCTATATCATTCATTATCTAAGAGCCAGAACGTAAATAATCGTCACGAGAATTCACTAAATAAATAATAAACTTTAAAAGATGAAGGTTATTATAGCTGGAGCAGGGATTGCTGGTCTTTCTGCAGCAATTGGACTCCGAAGAGCTGGTCATGAAGTATTGGTATGAAGAAATTGCATTCCATTCCATATGAATTTTCAGCTAGGAAGGTTGATATTCTCTAGCTATCATACCATTGCTAATAGGTAATCTTACATCTTCAAGATCCTTGATAAATCCTCTTTATCCCACGAAGTTGGCGCTGCTATCCGTGAGCACTCTCTATACAATCACCACGATAGCTATTATAGAGAGAGAACTGAACGTAATTTAGATGTTCAGCCCAATGCCTCTCGAATCGTCGCTCGATGGGGCTTCGATGTTAAAAGAGCTCGTCTCGTGACTGCCAAATCGATTACTCTCTTCATGGGAGACAACCTTCATGTGTATGAAAAGATAGACTTGTCTAATATTGAAGATGAATATGGCTCCGGATACTTCTTCAGTCATAGGGTTGATTTACATAACGAGTTGAAACTACTGGCTACGGGGATAGAGGGAGAGGGAAAGCCGGCTGTGATTCAGAATAGGTGTGAGGTTGTCGGTTATGTATGGATATCTATGAAGATCTACGAGAAATCACGGGCTAAACTATATATCAGGACACGATAAACGGATCAGCGATCCTCGCAGATGGAACGATCATGACAGCCGATTTGATCGTCGGAGCTGATGGTATACATTCATCCGCCGTAAAAGAAGTTACGGGATATGAGACTCCAGCCGTTCCCACGAAAATCTCTTGCTTTCGATGTCTCATGCCCGTTCAGGAGATTCGAGACGATCCTGAATGTGCATCTTTCATGGAAGCAATGGAAGGGAAACTCTGCATGTTCACTTCCCCAAAAGACGGTCGTCAAAGAATTGTCTGGTATCCCTGTAGAGAGTATGTTATGCCTATTCTCTTTTGCGAGCTGTGAGATGCCTGGTTTTTAAAGCTTACCATTTTCTCTTAGGAATCAAACGCTTAATGTTGCATTCTTGTGTCCTGATAGAGAAGATCTCACATGCACGGAAGGCGAGTCCTAGTCTTTTCATCAACTCACTCATTCTCAATCCCACAATCTATCTAACTTGACATCATTCCAGACTGGAACAATAACGTCCCTACCGAAACCCTCCTAAACGAACTCGACGATTTTCATCCCACCCTTCGCACTCTACTATCCAAGGCAAAAGATGTCCGACTCTGGAAACTTCTTTTCAGAGCCCCGCTACCCACCTGGCATAAGGGTAAACTCGTCGTAATCGGCGATGCGGCACATCCCATGTTACCTTGTAAGATCCCATTCCCCCCTTTCTTTTCTCACAATGCACCCCTAAACTCCTAAACTCCCAAACTCCCAAACTCCTCAACTCCTCAACTTTCCACTCTTCCATTCCCTAAATCCTCAATCCTCAATCCTCAATAACCAATAAAATCTCAAAAATCCTCACCAAACCCACAGACCAAGGACAAGCCGGTGCCCAAGCCATCGAAGACGGCTGCGCCCTCGGCATCCTCTTCTCCAATCTGCCCAACACGAACCCTGAAACCATTTCCAGCCGCCTCACCAGTTTCGAAAACGTAAGAAGAAACCGAGCGAGTGCAATGCAGATGTTTTCAAATGCGGGGCCGGATGAAGCGGAGAAAGTAAAGGAGAGTGTGAGGGGTTTTATGGAGGAGGGGGTGGTTATTCCTTGTGAGTTTTGTTGGTTTATTTCATTTTCGTTCCGTGATATTTCGTTGAGCTGGTCGGATGAGTGTGTATGTGAGTATCGGGAATATATGTTTTGGGAGACGAGAGGAGATGAGATTCGAGATCGATACTAGGGCAAGAAGATAAAGATGGTAAAGATGGTGTGGAGAACGAAAAATGCTAATATGAATGAATACGCATCTAGCAAATTCAAAAGAATATCAAGAATATATTTTCAGACACGATGTAGTGGAAGCTTGTGAGAAGGAACTAGAGAGAATTAATGGGATGGCTAACCCTACAGTGAAGTAAATGGGAATTATTATTGAAGAAGCGTATGGTGTTGTAGATCTTAGACTACTCGAGTAAAGTTTCGAGAGTTCTTGCATATACTAGGTAATTATGATTAGGCATGCTGAATTGGTGATGTTGTTTTTGGTTTATGGGACTTGGATGGGTAGCTGTTATGTTGAAATGTGTATTTTGGTTTCTGAGAAAGATCTCTGATGTACTTACTGAGTACAAGTATTATTATTCATCTCACATTATTCAATATTCAATTAAAAAGCTCACTATTAACTGAAGGAAGCCAATACCGAAGTTCGAAAGTTAGATCTAAATATCATACACATGTATTGCAGCGAAGCATAGGAGAAAAACACAGCAGAGGGGAGAATAGAAGACCGAAGGAAGGGAAAAAGTTAAAGAGAGATACAATAGCTATAGCTATAGGAATTATGATTTCATCGGTTCAATCTTCAAATCTCTACCCATCCATACAATAAAATAAGTATTTAGGATAGGGAATCTTTTTTTTTTTTCAAAAAAGTAGCAAAAAAAAGAAGGAAAAGGAAACAGACAGGGACGCCTGCTACTATACTACCTATATCTGGGACCTTTTGCGGCGGTCCCACAGATGTATTATTGTTGCGTTGTGCCACCCATCTTACTTATTTGTCTCTGAATGTTATCTTACTATGCTATGTACTATGGTTGTTTGAGGATATACTCGAGTATATGTATGATATATCTACACTAGGCAATGAGGTGGTAGGTATACTCGAGTAGTAAGTACCAAGCTTGGATCTTGGTATTTTACTCGTATTGTTGGACTATTTCTTGATTGTGAATTTTTGGGTGTTACTAGGTATATTATCAAATCAGACTAATCTGAGTTATTGTATGAGTATATTGAGAAATATATCTAAATTTAAAGGTGGTTTTGTTTTCTATTATAGATAGATAGATATAGATAGATAGATATATTATATCGCAAAATAATTTCTCTAAACTAGAGTACATCCGCACTATACTATATTATACAATATTATACTATAACTACCCAATAATAAACTCCATTTTAGTAAGATTACATAAAAGAAGACTCTTATCTACACAAAGTACTCAGTAGTTGGGTGAGGTTGTATTATTGTAAGTCTTAGTCTTAGGTGAGATATTTGTAGAGTGTGAGTGTGAGTGTGAGTGTGAGGGGAGTGTTCATTGAGGGATATATTCATCGAATGGGTGAAAATTAATGCTAAAGCTGGTATTTAGACTACCTGATTGGAACCGAATTATAGGGGTGGAATGTATGATTCAGAGTCGATCTGTGTGAACATGTTGAAGTCATACAATGACGGTATGTAGAACTAACATAGAACTCGATTGTCTTTTAGGGACGTAAAAACCTCCAGATTAAGGTTGATTAAGGATGATGTAGAAAGTGTAAGTCTTGACCACTTATACAGATAACATGATAATATGATATCGCTTTTTATTATTAGAACTAATGAAATCCATCGCATAAGTAATTAAATAACAGGGTCCTATTTCCCGAAATATCACACCCCTCGGCCTCGTCTCCTACATATGTAAAGTTTTGATCCAATGAAACCCTCTCTCATATTCATACCAAAGGACTATCTCAAAATGACATCCTTTCTTTGATCATTTGTTACCTGAAATAGTTCGCTTTCCAAAATGGCCTCAACCTTTGGCTTTCTCCAAAGCTTTTCTTTTCTACCACTGCATTTCAGAAGATGCCGAACCATCATTGGATTATTCTGTTCATATTCATCCATGAAATTTGTCAGAAGATCTGCCTGTTCAGCAGCTTCATCCATCTGATTTTCTTCAGAACACAGCACATAGACCTTTTCCAAGGCAACTCCGTCTATTGCATATTGTGTAATAAAATTGCATCGGTGGTAGTTCTGCCCGCTCGCCGCACTCCTTGAAGGAGAAAGATAGGTTGGCTTGAAACTATTCATACCGATCGCCATATACTTGAACTTCGAAACAAATTGTTGCTGACCGTAGGGTAACTCCACGCCTCCAACAGGTCCACGTACGTGGTTTTGAGTACAGAACGGATCGCCTGTGAGCCACAGAATATCACTATCTTCGTTACAATAGATAGAGCGTTCGCGAAGGTTGAATAGGTTATACTTCGCTAATGATATAGTGCGAGACTCATGTCAGGTTTGGAAAAGACCTGTTGGGTAACAAGTTGTAGCTGCTTTAATTCTGAAAGAACGGGTTCCCTCGCTGTCCAAAGGTTCGGTTCGGTCGAGATAGGTTTCGATCTAAATGGCTCGATGATTTGGAATGGCAGCATACTCCCAGATCTTGCGTTGTAGTTCGAGAGCAAGCTTAGAGAAGTTGTGGAAAGTTTCAATGGGATTGAGAAGTCGGGTGTCCAAAATTGCTTCGACCGAAGGTATCTCCCACTCAGTCAAGCTCGTACCGTCTCGTTCGTTCTTTTCTTTGAGTTTTTGGATGACGCTGCGATTATGAACGCTACTTGAAGCAATAGTCTTGATAGTATCCATCAAGTGTTCCACTGCCTGGTCAACTTCATCTCTCCGATCTCCAGAAGAGTAGACAATGTAAACTTTTTTCACCTCCATTGCAGAAAAAGCGTAGTACCAAGCCAGACGATAGTACTTACTCCCGTACCCCCGTGAAAACGCAACTATGTCATGTGCCATGATTTCGGCAAAGTCGAGAGCAACGGATTGAAATAAGTATGGGCCCAAGGGAAGTTTACGTCTCTTCCGAGACAGAACCTCCAAAGTCAGCCAGCGCATATTTGTACCATGATACTCAATCACAAACAGAGGATTTCCTCTGACCCATAAAATGTCAATATCTGGATTGTAATAAAGAGGACGTTTGAGGAAATTAGAAAATTTGTAGTTCTTTGCAGCGATCATCCGGGACTCGTGACAGACTTTCCAGCAATGGTGTAGGTGCACAACCTGTGGGACTCCGATGTTTTCGCTTGTTACCCTCAGGCAAGTATCCTCTTTCATCTAGCTCACAAATTGTTTTGACTTGAATGGCCCGAGGCTGGGGAAGAGCAGCATACTCCCAGATTTTTCGTTATAATTCAAGGGGGAGTTTGGAGAAGGTAATAGTATCATTCGAACCAACATCACTTTGGGCTTGAGATTGATCTTCGAATACATTGCGTGCAGCATTCGCCATCGTCGAGTCCGGGTTCATCTTTGACAGAAGCGCTTGCGCAATTTTCCAAATTTGGCGTTCACACGAAGAAACAATCGTACGCAGAGATTTTACTAGCCCCATAAGTCAGTATATTTTCTGGCGTGGTGATTTTATCGGTTTTCTTACCGAATATCATTGGATGATGGTTGCTTGTAAGATAAGTTTTCACAAAAGATTTGCTGGGTTTGTATCGAGGCGTGGCGTTCCTTTGAATTGTCGAGGGAAGTTTTTTAAAGATTAAGGAGAAAGGCGGGGTGGGTTGTTTACTTTAAGCAGATTAGGATATTCATTTAGTGTTGGTGATTCATTCTTTTACGGTGACCCCTCATCGAATTTCAGAGAAAGATGTCTGGATCTCATTATTCAATATTGATAGGCCAGGTAATTCCAGGAGTGAATACCTACCTAGTGGTTCGATCAGCCCATCTCCAATAGCGAAGTCGTGGATACTCGAGCTGCAGTCTTTTCAGACACCGATAGAGATTCTGGATACAGACCCCCAACACTCCTAAGGAAGTCTCCCGGTCGGTCACTTCATAGACAGGTCAACTTGCCTAATCTTCGATATGGCTTTCAGCTTCTCAGACACAATCAAGACTATGAAAGCTTCAACTCCCAAAAGTATCTCCGTACCTTCAGCTTGTTACCTGAGGAGCTGCAGCTAGCTAGCTTATCTGGAAATCGGCACTCCACGACATTGAACCTCAAACTTTTGAGCTCCCGATGTATCGATGGATTACAAGGTACTTATAACAGAGCTTGGGTATTGAGTTTATATACATACCGTTCTTAGCGTACTCTCCTGACGCCAAGGGTCCAAGGCGTGGACTTTGTATCGCAGCAACCAATATATGGCGGGACCAATTCTATCATATCATAATGGATGCAGGGAGAAACGATGTATTCTTTGGTGGGAACCATACAAAGATGCATTGCGTGGGATCTAAATTTAACCCTCTCGCTCATTCTGATGTAAAATCGACACGTTTCGGTCACTGCCAATTGGGAAACAGGTTAGGTTATTCTAAAGTCACGTGATTTGAGACTTACCTCAATATTCCTTCGCTTTCAAATTTCATATCCAACAGTACATTTAGTTACATATTCTTCCCGAGGTACAATTCTCCTTAACAGTTCCGTCTATGAGGCGTTCTTCTCGTCCGAAATTAATAGGCAATTGCCCTTATCCAATTTGTACCCTCTCCCATCGAGGTCTAGTCTTCGAAACATGCTACCACAAGATCACGTCCCGTAGGATGCGTCCCGTCTATAAGATAAGACCTTGGGGTCTAAGGTTATCTTATGAGAATTTCTTCAACACAGGAATGTGAACTACTCCACGTGGAAAAGGGATGCCAAGATACTGTCTAAATGCTCACCGCCGCAGCCCTGTCCAGAATGTGCGGTATATTCTGTCATATGATTGGATATCTTACTATTTTTCGCCTCATTTCAATTCTTGGACAGGGTTGGGTCTGCGCTATGGAGACTTTGTGGGGAATTCCTACCAATGTGACATATTGCATAATATAAGGACCTCCCTGCAGTCAGCAGGTGGGAAGTTTTCCCGAAAAATTGGAATACGAGCTTTTAAGTATAAGACCTCTGTATTCTGCGGTTGATGATGTCCAATCTACCCAGAAATTTCCCAGTCAATATCTTATCTACTCATAAGGATGCTACGTATTACTTTGTTCTTGCCATTATTATGCTTTCTTCCCACTGCTGCATATGCGGATGATACGAATGCCACCATTAATTCAGCTGTTGCTAGTGTTGCAAAACTCCCTACCACGAATTTGAACATTTGCGTAAGTATCTCGGTTTCGATTTGTGTATTTTCCAAAGTCTTTTGCACCACTCAATCAACACTCTCATTCTCCGTATCAACTTGTATGTTATGGCTATAAATTCGTTAACATCGTTCTACAGTGCAAAGCTCTCCAATTGGCACTCGGTTCGAAAGTCTCTTACCCAGGTTCATCAGCATATAACACCTTCTCAAATAACTTTTACTCTCAACAAGAATCGCAAAAGTCCCCGGGTTGTATTGTATCACCGACATCCACAATAGATGTCTCAATTTCCGTTGGTATTTTATCTATCCTTGGCAAAATTACCAATTGGAACCCTTCGTGCCAATTTGCTATCAAATCTGGAGGCCATGCCCCAGGTGCCGGTCAAGCCAACATAAATCAAGGTGTGACTATAAACTTGAGACCTCTTCGTACCATTACTGTTAGCGCCGATAAATCTGTGGTATCTGTGGGTCCAGCAGCAACATGGGGAGAAGTTTATCTCATGTTAGATAGCTTGCAACTTACTGTTCCTGGAGGACGAGTCGATTCAGTTGGGGTTGGAGGATTGACCGTCGGAGGTAAGTTTGATTGATTCTCTTTACGGTTCTAGGACGAGTTAACTCACCCGTGCAGGTGGAATATCCTATTTCTCGCCCAGGAAAGGATTTACATGTGACAATGTCAAAAACTTTGAAGTAGTTCTTGCGAACGGAAAGATCGTCAACGCAAATGCTAATCAAAATTCCGACTTGTGGGTTGCGTTGAAAGGTGGCTCCAACAATCTCGGCGTAGTCACACGAATTGACTTCTACGCGTTCCAGCAAGGTAATGTATGGGGTGGTAGTATCATCAATCCAGCCTCTACCGCAAACGAACAGATTGACGCCTTGGCCGACTTCAGCAGTAATCCAAATTATGATGAATATGCTTCTTTAATCGTTAGTTTCGCGTTTCAGCCCAGTATCGGTCCGGTAGTAGTGAACAACATCGTATATACCAAGCCTGTCGTGGACCCACCAGTATTTCAATCCTTCACGGCAATTCAACCTCAATACTCAAACACTTTGAGAATTACCAACTTATCCGATATTGCCGGTGAAACAGCAGGCTCGGCTACTCATTTACGGTATAATTCTTCAATCTTTTCCAATCTTCTTGCATTGACATATCAGCTCGTACTAACACTACCCAGCACACTCTTCATAACAACAACATTCAAGGCAAACAAACAAATGATCGCCGCAACCTACGACGCCTGGAACGCCTCTCTCCCATCCATCCAATCCCTCGCTAACATCACCTGGTCCCTATCCCTCGAGCCCATCCCCACCAACATCCCCGCCAAATCCATCCCCGCAGGTGGAAACATCCTAGGAGTAACACCCGCTGACGGTCCACTAATCGTAGCTCTCCTAACCGCAACATGGGGAAGTAGTTTCGATGATGCTATTGCGACCACTACCGCTAAAAACATGTTCAACACGATTGATACCTTTGCAAAGACATCGGGGTATGGTAATGATTGGCTGTATTTGAATTATGCGGCGAATTGGCAAGATCCTATAGGTGGGTATGGAGTGGAGAATAAAGCGAAGCTGCTGGCGGGGAGTAGGAAATATGATCCTGTGGGTGTCTTTCAAAAGGGTGTTCCGGGGGGTTTTAAATTATTTGTTTAATTTGTGGGATGGGGGTCATCTGTTTTCAGAACATGATATTGGCTTCCTTTCACCTCGCTATGAATGACTAGAAAATGGCCGGAGACTTCGTGCGGTGAAATCATTGTTTACTGTTTGTAAGAGGGCTGACTTGAATGATGACTGCATGCAGCGTAGCTCTGCTTTGTCATATTATGAGAGCTGCTATGAGACTCTAAAATTTTACGTTATGACGAGGATCTGTATGATAATAATTGATGGAAAACACAAAGCCGGTATCTGCTTGGAGAACATCTGTGTATAAGAAGGGGTTGCATACTTCAGAAGCTCAAATTCATTATAAATATCTGGATATGTCCAATATAATTATAATCCTCATTGAAACCTAGTTCAGCATAGTCATCAAACTCAATTAATTTTCAGACACAAGTATAACTATATATCCAAGAAATCTTTAATACTTCTATAACGTCTTTCCTGCATACTATAAAGGTTTTCAACTACAAAGTCGTTGGAGACCTTATTCTTCTCCAGAACATGTTTTTCGTTGCCATGATAACACGCCTCATTAATATCAAGATCTTGAGAATTATCTTCATCCTCTTACTGCATTAGAGTAAGTAGCCCATTGACACATCTAGGTTAAATTTCAAGGAACACACAAGGTTGAGATCTTTACAGTGAGATTTGAGATTAAGGAAACAAGAAGAGTTAATCTGTGATAAGACTTTTATTCGCCGGATACCGTTTCATGGATGATATTCCATAAATAGCAAAAAGTATTGATCCTCTCTCACTGCACACCCTTATTCTGCAGCGCCAAATATTCCCCCGAAGAAAGACAACTCTCATCATCAACATGCACGCGATACATCCCCACCAATTCCCTCACCCTCTCCACCGGCAACCCCTCCAATCTATACCCCTGAAACCCCGTCCTCCCACCCCGTCCCGCAATAATCGAATTTAAAATCGCCTCCTCGGTCGCTTCACTCGCTGCTCGAAAAAGCGTCTCGATACTTTCGTTCCGGATGACTTTCACATTGTTGATTTCGATCTTGGATAGTCCGTTTACTTGTGGCGCGTCGACTGTTTCGTGGGGTTTGTTGCCGGTGGAGAGTGCGAGGATTATGTCGCCGGAGTGGTTGCGTCCGACGCCGTGGCCGCCGACGAGTGAGAGTCCGACTGCGCAGTGGCGGGCTACGCGGTTGAGTTGGTGGGGGAGTAGAGGCGCGTCGGTTCTGTGGTTTTGGTGGTGGTTAGTTGTGTGTTGGATTATTGTTGCTGATGTGATGCTGTGCAATGAGGAAGTTGAATTGAAGACTTACATCAAAATAATAATGATACTTCCCTCACCAATCTTTCCTCCTTTCTCACTAGCCCTCTCCTTTTCCTCTAGCTCCTTACTCTCCTTCAATAACAACCTTCCAATCGGCACGCCTCCAACCATGAAATCTCTCAAATGTCCATAATTACTCTGAACCAAAACCCCCACCGTCCAATTCTTTTCTCCCTCCTTAGTCTTTAAGTTAGTCTCCCAAGGCACGTCTCCGAAAACCCTCGAACTAGTTCCCGTACCGCCAGGAAACATATGACACGTCATACCGGCACCACCTCCATGTTGACCTTCCTGCACTTCTTGCTGCGTGAGTGCATTTTCAAACGCAGGCTTGACTTCATCTAGGGTGAGGGGTGACCGATATACGTCGTTGAGGATGAGATCGGCGGTTTCGCCTACGATGGGTGTGCCGTAGTTGTGGGATACTTCTTTAATGGGAGTGGCTTTTGTAGAAGCGACATCGAGCACGCGGTTCCAGAGGGCTTGATAGACGGTTCCTAGAGATAGGGAATTGGTTATGGCGATGGGCTATTGGTATTTTTGTCAACTTGGATTCTTTACCTAGTCTTCTTAACTGGAAGTGGAAGGAGAAAAATTTGAATTTTTATATTTGCGGGATAAGGAATAGGACGAACAGTATTTGAATAACCCCAATCTTTAATCTGATAGCTACCAGTCAATTCTCCATTTCCGTTAAGCGTGTGCAGTCCCGCATAGCAGGGGATGGTAATCTCATCAGGATGGCGGGGAAAAATGACAGTGACACCTTTACGGACATCTTCGCCATCCTCTCCTATCGTGTGTTGACCGACATGAACTCCTAGAGAAGGGTTAGAATGTATTCTAGTATAGATAAGATTCACACCCGAAATATTCGGGGGGAATGATGCGGTGTGACATTCTCGTGACGTGGGAAAGCCGTGGGGTTTGTGGGGAAATCCAAACTTACCGGGAACATCGAGAATGGAGTTCTTGGGTCCTTGTTGGAGTTGTCCTGGGACATATCCGATGTCTCTACTGGTGAGACGTGTATTTGACATTTTTGCTTGATGGATTGTGATTGTATTTGTGGTGCTGGTGTTGAGGGAGATAGATTGAGAGCTGATATGGTATTTCTAGATAGCATACTATGAGGCGGGGTGAATATATATTTCCATCGTATGTTGAACGCGGGGTAATTTATCGGCCGGTGACTCATGACGTGAGATTGTTGGTTTGACTCGAGGAGTGAATATGATACAATATATGTAGGTACGAAATGAAGCTTATACCGGGCTTTTGTATACCGATATCTGGTTATACTGGTTTTCTACACACACTGAATCTGATTGGCCTAAACACATTATCTGATCCGGTATAAGCAGATTAAATCTATCGATAAGATCTAATTAGGAAGGTGAACGTTTTCCAATTCAATGCCATACGCAAAGATGATTGGGAGATTGTAGTACGGTTACTAATATTCCCCAACAATGGATGTGATAGTGTGATAGTGATAGCCCCTGACTTTAGCGAAATTAGTGTTCGGTCGCAATAATTCCCGGGCATTGTGACTACCTACCATGCAAAGAAATGACTGGAAGTAAGCAATTTTTATCTTTCTTTCCATGTTTTGTTTTATTTTCATACTTTCGGGATAGCAAATGATGAACTACTGAGAAACTCACAATTCACCATCTAGAGCTCAAGTTGAGCCTTTTGCCTATTAGCACATGCCTCCATAGCTAGGCTTGAGCTAGCCGTAGATGACGTAGCCGAGCCGGTCACTTCCTTGTGTTTTTCGATTCTCACACTGGCACTTGGGTAGAATACTAGAAAGTGGTGAAGGGATTTGATTATCTGAGCCGGCAAACTCGTTGCCTATCTCCGAATGAGTTTTTAGGTCTTATTTGATAAACAGAAAGCAATCTTCAGGGCCTCCAATACCATGATCTCAGCTTAGAGCCAAATCTTCTTTCACCTGTCGATGCTAGACAGTTCTCGTCCGAACACCTCTTCTCGCTTTGAGTCTATTGTTGCAGGTTATTGAGGTGTAGTGGCTTCTGATGTGGTATCAGTCAGAGAATGTTGATGAATAATATTAAAGTTAGACAGTAGGCTAGATACTAATATGAATGTGTCGGTAAATACTCAATGAGACATAACTTGTGGTTGTTTCAACCTGATGGAGAGATATAAGAGTCCAGTGTAGGTGAGCAATGATTATTTGTACTAATCGAAGCTGTCGAGCCATTTGCTTTTGGTTTGTCCTTCTCTCGCCATCCTTGGTCTTGATAGTGTTCTAAGTCAACTCCCCCCTTTTCGGTCACTCAATTAAAAAAAACTCTCTATCTTCCAAATTATATAACTCAATAATTATTCAACTAAAATAAAATCGTCTGTATCATTACTTTCAATTATATCATCGCTATTTTCTGCAATAATTCTATGGTCTTTAACTATGATTTGTATCTCTCTAATAACTTTAATTCTTGTAAACCTGATATTTAGATTAATTACAACCTTATATCTTTTCTTAGATATAACTATTTTCAATTGATATTCCAATTATTTTATTCATTTTCCTAATATTATAAAATTTTTAATCCTTAATATCAAAAAAC